TTATAATATTAATAAAAATAAATTAAAGATTTATAATATTTTAATAATAATTTATATAATTAAAATAATTTTTTTAATAAATTTAATTTTTATTACAATAATAATTTTTAATAAAAAATAATTTTTAAAAGAAAAACGATTTTTAAAAGAAAAATAGTGGTCGCCTAAGCAACGATTGCTTGAGAAATAACGTTACCTCTCTAATAAATAATGCATATAGAAGATACGGTACTCCGTTAAAGAACCGTTTCTCAAAACCACCCTTTGCCGCTATAGTATGTATCTGCCATCTCAAAGTTTAATGGTCATGTCGGAATGGAGAAATTGAAATTGCACTTTTGATATCTTCTCTGAATGCGAGAGTATGTAGGTGACGCGTGCCGATGCTTATATGTGCGCCATCACCTACAGGCTCACCGCTGATGAGCCTTCTAATTTAGACGACGTTGATGACCAAAGCCTTTTGTATCCACGCCGGAATATACACTAAGAGATGGCCCCGAGGCTACATACTCCAAGCATACTACAAGAAACATGGATGAAAGGAAAACGTAAAGCGCTAGCGAGGTTTAGACTATAATGTTCCTGAAAGTTTAACCGTTAGTTACTCGACTTCCCATCTAGTCTTGTACTTCCATGTGATGTAACAGGGAAGATCTCACATCTGTAACCAACGGGGAGGAATTAGACACTCTGGCTGCGCGGCTTGGAACGTTACTTGCTCGCGTACAAGATCTCCATGGTAGTCAATAGCATTGCTTAGAACTAAGCCTCTAATGAGTTCTTATTAGAATGAATTATGTCCCGGCTCTAAGTACGGTGAAACCCCCATACGCCTAGGATTTTTATACACGGACATGATTTGTTGATGAAAGGGAACGAGGGAAAAAAAAAAGGGGGATATCCTACTCATACAATACAATTGTGTCGCCTGTCTTCTGCTCCTGTACACCGAAAAAAAAAAGAAGTTATTTTGAGACGACAGCCTACCATCGCCTGCAATTCCAAATCCGTCGTCGACCCGTTATCATGGAGTCATCACTGGCAACCAGATTTTCCCCTTCCCAGGCTTGGAAGGATTTGGGATCGCCATAGCCGTTCGGCTGCTTATACATGCTCGCCTTTTAAAGGCGAGTGAATAATGTCTTGGGGGGGTATGTAAGGTTATATTTCTCGAGCTTCTCTTGTTAGGGCTGCTCAAATCACGGCCACCACTTCATCCTCTTGTAGCTCTCAATCACTTCCTCCACCAGCTCCTTCGTGATAACTGGTTTTTGGTACTGGAATCCAACTACAGCCTCCAGTCGGCTACCGTCCATGCTGAGGTCCGTATCCTTCAGCAGCTCCTTTTCCATAAAGGGAGTCAGCGGACCCGGCCTCGTTATTCCAGCATCGGTGAGAAGGTCTGCCCAAGGTCCCAGAACATCGTCGTTGACATCATCCACAACACTGTCCATGTTGAGACGGGCGAGGTTACTTAGAAGCTGGCCTTGGAATCCGGTCTCGATACCGAACACTTGGCCAATGATCTCGGCGATCGTACCCTGATTTGTCGTTCCTTTGTCTACCACATTGAACGTCGGCGTCGGGCCCATGCTCTTCTCGTCCCAATTGGCCTTGCCAGCGTCGTACCAGGCGGCAACCGACCATAGAGCCCGTGTAACATCGTCAATATGTGCCGTGTTTGTGTACAGGTCCTTGGTCCATAGGAATTTCATGTCCTCGCCCATCGCTTGGTAGACGCGCGCCATGCACAATGCCGTCGCCACCCATTGAGATGCATACGGGCCGTAAACATGGGGTAAGCGTACGATAACGAGATTTAAGCTGTACAGGAAAAGAGCCTATAGTTAGATTCCATCACCCTCTCCAAAACTTAAAGAGCGTCAACTTACCCTTCAATCTTGGCCAGCTCCTCCTCCGCCTGAAGTTTGAATACGGCAATCTTGCTCCAAGGCTTGAGCTTGTCCGTCTCTTTACTCGGCGCCGAATTCGCCTTGTATACCATACCCGTGCTCAATTCTACGAAGCACTTCACTCGTCTCTTCGCCGCCTCTTTACCAACTGCTAACGACAGACCTAGAGACCGCACTTTGTATACTTCATCTTCCTGGGAATATCTCGTCTCGCCGCCGCAGTTGAAAACATAATCCCATTGTTTGCCATCGGGCCGGTCAAATATCCGTGCCAAAGCTTCTACACGGGAAATTCATAATTAGTACGGCTCAAAGGGAGAACTAACGAAGCTTGTTAAGACCTACGTTCTTTACTTGCGTCTGCTTGTATGAATTTGTCTGAGGAGCACGCAGTCTCGAACTCAGGCGCAAGCCAGGCGAGTTGCGGTAATACCTTATCTACTAAGCGAAATTCGGATGCGAGATCGTTCTCGTGTATGTACCGGGCCAGGAACCGTCCGATATAACCAAGCCCGCCGATGATGAGTACCGACGGCTTCTCTGTGGCCATTGTGTGCGCTATTGCAACCCGATAGGTTGCGGTGTATTAGAGGGAAGAAGGAAACGGGGAGAACGGATTCGAGGCGCAACACAGGCGCGGGGCTACAGAAGACCTTTTTTTTTTTTTCCTTCCGGGGGGCCGCGATCGTGAAGAGGTAAAATGACGGACAAGGCTATTGTTGGGAAAAAGTTCCCGGTCTTGGAGACTTCAAGAGCTGAACTCGAACAAGCTACAAAGCACCGACACTGCGGTTATGTACTAAAGACCCAAGGGAATGCCTGTCTGTATTGTCAAGGTGGAGCAAGGGGCTATCCGTCCAACTCCGTCGAAGGTTGTGTCAGCTGCCCGAAGCTAGTAATATTGGTTCATTTCGCGGTTTAGGGGGGGGTGAGGGCGGATCCAGTCCAAGCGAGCAGACCAGCCCTATATAGACGGAACAGAGCTAATAGGCCGCAGAAGGCAGAAGGAATCAAGATTACCTTTTACTGCTTCGATACTTTGATATCTAGTGCAACCCCAACTTGTCGAGAACAGATAGTGAGAGGAGAAAAAATTTAAAATGTGTCGTATGTGCAATGTGACGCAGGGGAGGCTTGGATTATTATGTACGTATGAGATATCTGCAGAGAACAATTGTAAGATGTTTAGGTCTAATGTACATACCTAACCTACATACATGACGGGAACAAAAAAAAAAAAAAAAAAAAAAAAAAAAAAAAAAAAAAGCAAGAGAAAATCAATATGTAACGTACTGTAGATCGGTACGCATGGGGAGGCCGCCACCGCCGCCAGCCCAGGTTTGGGCTGGTATGGATATGGTTTATGGATATGGTCGATGGAGCATCAGGAGAAGCTGTGGAGTCCCAGCAGGTTGCTCCTTGTGGTTCATTTATGCACCAAGTGATTGCGGTAACCGCTAAAAGAGCACCTTGGCTGCGACCCCCTTGTCTGCTCAAAGATGGATCGCTTGGGGGCCCGGGCTTGGGCTTGGGCTTGGGCTTGGGAAGGCTTGGTTCAGGTACGTAGCGTATGTCAGCGAGCAGTCGAACAGCGAACAGCGAACAGAGACAGAAGACGGAACGAACCGCATTAACCTTCCTTCTCATTAAAGATGAGAAAATGCAGAAATCTGACATAGATGTTTACAGTACATAATCAACGCATAGGGTGGCGTACGAGGTTGTATGTATCAGTCACCCTATACACTACGTACATAACGTTGCAGATGGATGGGATGGTATGGGATGGGATGGGATGGTCATGACCACCGCCTCGTAACGCACGTAGTGGACAATTATAGCAACTATGCGATGCAACTCAAAGGGTGTCAAAGATGTTCGGTGTTGATATGATATTATTAACGGATGAGACCACATGTCTTGGATCATCTTACATTATAGGAGGAGAGGCGAGAACGAAATGATGATAAGGAATAGGTGAACATTAGGTTTAGATATTTCATCAACTACGACATTGAGAGATACAGAGGTAGTCTTGTACATGTTTAAGACGAGGTCTTTGCCTGTCACGGACATGGAAGATTGGAAATAGGGATAACTAGACTGATAGAGAAGAGAAGGTACGCTAATGAGATACACTACTGCGTAGCGTAGCGTAAAGACATGGGAAGCAAACTTTATCAATATGTATACGAAGTACATAGTTACTAGTAACATGTATTAAGTACACCCCCTTTTGGTTAGATAGCACCCAGCCAGCTGAGGCAAAACACTACCACAGTGCCACAACTAATACCAGGTTACTCAACTTGAAACACATACAATATCTGATATCGAGCACAGTATCCAGATATTAATGCATTCGCGATCGGTACATATATAACACCGGCGACGGGAACTTCGGCTGTTATCACCATATACTCTTCAGTCTCGATTCCTTTTCAGTCTCGATTCGATTCGGTCTTGATTTAACTTCATACCAACCTAAGGTATAGGTAGTTACTGGGTCTCAATGACGCCACGGCCGATAGTTGGGTTCCATTCTCGCGGACATAGTCCCCGATACGCATGAGTGTTGCGGAATCTTGTCGTGGAGATGGTCGATGATTCTTACACATATTGCACATTATTGCGCACGTATTTCCGAAAAGCCCCAAGACTAAAATATAGATCACCACCACTGGCACCAGTCGTTCCGTAGTCCAGACCGTAATAGACCTAGTTCCATACAGCGTCAAACGGCCGAAGTTCAGGCACCTCAGGTCACCTGCCCACTCCCACGACAGGGACGGTTTCGGTATCGCGTCTTTTTTATCGGCGCGGTTACATAGCGTACACTATATCCATACCTACCTAGCAGCCTAGGTAGTAAAAGAGGCTCTTACGAAGAAAGCTTCGTCTGATGTACGGCCGAGAAGTCTCCATATCGTCACCTGAGCATCAAACGTCCCCGGACTTTTACATAGGATCGTCTGTATCAGATATCCGCTTCGAGCCCCCCTGCTGGCTCTGCAAACCCGCACGCTTTGAGATAAAGGTATCGATGGGACGTGTGTTGGGTACCTATTTGGATAGATACATCCACGGCGCGGGATACCTAGCTCATATGTAATGACACCACCCTGGCAGGGCTCATAAGCACTACTGAACCAATACTGGGAGTCTGGGACCCGAAAAGATTCCCAGGTTTGTTCTACATAGCAGAGTACCGAAACCGTCCTGCCGTGTAAGCTCACAGATAATATCCCTTCCCGGCCAATCGTAAATTCTCCTCGGCTGGCTGGCTGATGCAGCGAATTATTCCCTGAAATGACAATTGACAATGGAAACCGTGCGCCATCCGCCCAGCCCAGCAAGCCCAAGCAAGCCCTAGCTGCAGGTCTACATACGAATCATTAGAAACAAGGGGCTTGCCTATGCCTATGCCTATGCCTATGCTTATGTACATACTGCCTCAGTCAGGGCGTCTATTCCATACCGACTTGCCGACCCAGCCAGCCGAGCGAATCCTACCTGGGCAGGGCAGAGACACGAAAGCGGAGCGTTCTTCTAGAAACATTCCATGCAGTGCACATCATCTTCCCACGGGGCGTAGGTAAACGTCGACCAACAACAACTCGCCTGTTTGCTCTGCGCCCTGTGCTCTTGTCCTCGTAGGTCTTGGCCTTGGCGAAGCATGCCGAAACTTGCGACGCTGTGTACCTAGGTACGTATCAAATCTCAGACCACCTTTTCAGATAGTGTACCTATTGCCGACGTGCAGCGGGAGGAGGGGAGAAGGACAACAACGCGCAAGGCAAGGCAAGGCAAGCTTAGGTTAGGTTAGGTTGGCCTAGGACTTCGCTCGTACACCACGTATACTACAATTTCCGACGCGCGCAGAGAAGAGGCAGAGCAGAGTCGACAATACAACTACTGCAACGGATACCCTCCCCGGTCGGCCGCGTGGGCATAGGATGATCATGACAGACAGGCAGGATAATACATAATTCTCACGTCTTCCGAGTGTAATGTCCTGTCTTGTCCTGTTTCTACGCTAGGTAAGTATGAGGTATCAGGTATGTATTATTCGACATATTGGCGCGGCTACTCGCCCGCCTACTACTTCGTATCGCGCCTAGCAAATACCTACTAAGGTCCAACTTACCTAGGTAGGTATCTAATTCGGCGGGACGGAGCGAGAATACCTTACATAGCTAACCGTATTCTCTTCTAGTCGCACCGGTATTCTATCGCAGACTTTTACCTGCATGCTCCCGAGTCTAGATCTACCTAAATATAATCATACACTGCATATTTCTAATTACCTCCAACTCCAATGCTGGCATATGCCTGCTAAATTTTTTATTTTATTTTTACAGGGTCCTTACAAGTTACCGCGCAGATCGACCTCCCCTTTCTAATGACGCTATTTCAGATAGATCGTCTTGGAACTAGGCACCTATGTATTATGGATGTATCCATAATGTATAGTGGAGGTAGTATAGCGGTCTAGAAAGAAAGAAGGAAAGAAATGTTCTACACGGGTTCCATTTCGTAGTGTATTGAACCTCTGATGTGTCGGCCACGCGACACGACGGCTCCATCCGTCCCAATACATACCTAACCTACATACTGTACCTTACATGCGACGTACATAGAAGAAAACCCGAATCATTCCATCCGCGATCTGGATTCCTTCTGGAAGCAGACATCATCGGCTACAAGAAACGCGCCAACCTGTTTCTCCTCCCCCCCCTCCCCCCCCCCTTTTTTTTTTTTTTTTTTTAATTTATTGTCTAAGGGGGTAGGTAACGCGAACAGCAGCAAGCAACGCACATGTAGTGTATACATACAGAAACGTGGTCATGTTCCATTGCATCCCGTCGTTCCCTTCCCAATTAATCCTTCCATCAAGGGGTAAAGGAAGAAGAAGAAGAAATAAAATAAAATAAAATAACAAAAATAACAAAAATCTTCTCGATCCCCCCTATTTCCCATCCGCCTACATACATCCAGCGTAACAAATCCATAAAGCCGCCAAACCAATGTTGCAATGTTGTATCTGCAACGGTCGCGACGCGGGCTGGCCGGGTTAGTTAGATACCTCTAACCTATGCAAGTCATTGATTTGCTCATTTGTTTTAATTCAGCAATAGTAACGTAGTCCCCATCCGTCCAGCCTAGTCTAATATCGCACAACCTAGGTGCGAAAGAAGAACAAAAAAAAAGAGAGAGAAAGAAACCATAGACACGGCGTCGACTTGCATCGTCCTTGAAACAATGAGTCCAAGACGGAAAAGTCTTCTTCCACAACTTTGAACTTGCCCGGTCACCACGCTTCCATTCCCGGCCCCCTCTTATCTTAGACACGCATATACTCATCTAACTTACATACGTACCTAACATAACTACCAAACTTTACCTTACTCTTGTTCGTTTTTCATGTTTGTCTGATTCGATTGCGATGCTACTGCATGTACGCCTCCCGCAGCCGGAATTGCATCCGGGGCACGCAAGGGGTTAATTGGATCATTAGGTAGGTCCCTCGTTTTCGACTTCGCTGTCTCGAAACAGGAAGGCCCATAAGTTCGCGCATCACCAATCATCGAACATCGAGAATCTAGACTCGGGAAGCGAGATTTGAATTATTGACAGATATATCTAATTACGTATCGTCCGATCTCATACCTAGTATAATAATAAAAAGCTTATGCCGAATGAGTTATTATTATCTACTCCACGCTGAAGCCGGAAAGGATCGTACGATCAAAAAAAGATCTTGCGGGGACCTGGGGACCTGGGGACCTTGGATCTCTCAAACTCAAAACTGTTGGGGGGAGATTATGCCCAGACAAAGCCTCACGTCTAATCTAAGATGTTTCCCCTGGACCATACACGAGCTTACCAAGTCTCAGACTGTCAGACATATTTTCCGAGACCCTGTGACTGGTCATCATTCCGATCTGTCGCTGCCGTGCAACTATTCGTCATCGCTGTCATACTCATCGTCCGAGACTCCCGTAGCCAAAAACCACGCCCGGACGTAAACCTTTCCGTATCATCATATCTTAGAAGTGTCATCTTAATGGTTCGACGTCACCCGTCATCGCATCATGCTTCCGACGAGCTCCTTATGAGCTTCTCTGTCCTTTGCACCCTGACTCAAGCTTCCTACGCTCCTCAAGTCGCCAACCACGTCCTTGGCCTTTCCGAAGTAGACCTCCTGTAGCAGGTTTCGCATCTTGAGCTCCATATCCTCTACCAGTTTCCCGATATTGGCAATCTGCTGCTCCTCGCTCTCGGCCGGCAGTTCGATCTCGATCTGGCGGGTCATGTTGCCTGAGAGATCCATGTCTCCGAGGCTGTTCGAGTTGGTAGACAGCGATAGGATGACCGTGGATGTTAGGTTATATTGGGTGAAACGGGCTCGATCGATCGCCTCGAAGACATGAATCGAGTCCCAAGCACCCTCGCTAGCGCTGCCTGGTCTGGCCTCTGATACGGGTACAATGTGTTAGCCGCGGAGATCTCATACTTGAGGTAGGTGAGGAAGTATATATATCACCGACACCAATTACGTCGGTTGTCTTCCCGTACTTGGCTCGTGCTAGCTTCGAGGTCTAAGATGTGAGATGCAAGATCTGCAACCTCCGAATCTGAGCCTACTCATGTTACTCCTCCTTCTCGCTTAGAGTTCAAGATAACTCAAAGCACCAAGTGCTCTGGAAATCCAGGGATGACATAGTGCTCTCTTGTCGTAACTACCTTCTAAAGCATCTCTTTTCGAATATATTGACCAGTAGTAACGGAACGACAAGCACTTCTCAGACCTGTCGTATGTAGAGCCAATAGTGTAAGGGAACATGAACCCTAGGCACATGCTCCACGGATAGAAGAATGATGAAAATTCACAAGCCAAACTTACCCTTCTTCAAAAGCACAACGCCCGCGAAGCCATCGTCGAGGTTCCAGAAGTAGACGCTACTGACACCGCCCTCGTAGTAGAGGTCTCGGTAGAGGTCGAAGGCTTCGTTGGCGCGGACCTCCATCTTACGAACCTTCTCGGACGGTAAGCTGGCGGCAGAAGCAGCACCGCTTTCGAGCGGCGGGTCGAACTCGTTGCTCCATGGCGAGCGATAACTATCACCGTCACGGTTGTAGTCGCAGAGAAGGTAGTCACGGCCGGTTTGCTTACACCGCCGGATCGAGAGGGGCTGGTCGACGGAGGAGAGTAGATCCTCAGTTAGGTCGGGTGCCAGGTGGATCAGGGAGTTTAGGTGTGCGGTCGTGTGCTTGGGGTTGAGACGTCGGAGGAGGTCGCTGATGTAGTAAACGTTAGCATTAATCATATGTATATATATGGTTTGGGTAGGGAATAAGGCAGCGAGGGGAGAGTGAGAGCGAGAGCGAGAGCAAGGGAAGACGTACAGAGCCGAGTCAAACGGGTCGGCCATGGTAACTCTTGAACGGCTCGTGATACTGTTTGCAGTTTCTTCGAAGGGCTCCACGACGTAATGATTCCAGAGGTAATCTAGACAACCTAAGAGAGTGTTGGGAGTAGTGGTTGAGATGGATATTCTTCTTAGATGTTGGAGGGGGAACATTTGAAAGTCGACCGCAGTTGGCCTTTCAATCGATGGTGGGGTTCGTTCGAAAAGTGGGTCATTTCCTTACACGGTAAGTACCTCAAGTAGGGGGGAGCTGTATGTTAGCTGCGCGGAGGACCTTCCATATAAGCTCTAAGTCTATATAGGACATCTTCCTCTTGGGTCTTAGTTTTGTAATATTCGCATCTTAATTTCGGATGACTTTTACTAATACTATATACACATCCAACTCTAAAAGTCAACCCACAATAACAGGTAGGTACTAGGTACTACTTCGATTATACCGTACTGACTGACTACCATGGGCATACCAACTACATCCTTCGAGTAGACTAATCTAATAATACCTCTTTATCTTATTTAGTCTACTTGACTTACCCCTCCAGACTCCCACGTGTCCACGATTCTCAACTTTTCTCCTGCTGTTCCAACTTCGCCTAGAGCTTCAATCTGCTCCAGGTAGCACAACTTATACAACTCAATTTTTGTTTCATACTCTGAATATACAAAAACAGCCACCCCGCAAAGAAAAAAGCAGGGTATAACAAATTGCTCCCAAAAACGCCGAACAGAAAGGACAAAGCTCTCTGGTAAAACACAAGCGACAGGAATATATACTCGTCGAACCTTAAGATAACTTGCAACGTCTCGTAGAATAGGTAGAGCGCTTCGATATAATCAGCTACTGAATCTCGTGATCGCAGATTAAGCAGTGAAGGGGTTCTGTCCACGACTTGTCTCCACCCGTGACGCTCTCTCGGAGATCCGTGATTTCGAGGACCGGTGGACTTAGGTCACTTTGCATTACACCCTCGAACAATCCTTCGTATGGCTTCGCTGCCGCCCGGTCGTTCAATTCTGACTTGCGGGGTCGCCCTCTTTGTTTGGGCTTAGAGGTCACGACGGAGACGCTCGTACTTTCGGCTTTGATGGCCGGAAGGGCGTCTTCGACGCCGGCAAGTTTTATTGTTTGTTGCTGCTCTTCGGGCTTCACATCGATCGATTGCTCGGCCGTCTGTGCTGCACCCGTCTCGCTAGGACTTAGCGGCCGTTTAGCCTCCTCGCCAGCTTCTTCCTCCTTCACTGGTGTGGATTTGTGTGGTTTGTCGGTTCCTAGGCGCTTGTACGTCTTTAGAAGTGCTTCGTGGATCAGACACTCATCATGAAGCCATTTTTTGCATTCCTCGTTTGAACAGCCAAACAACCTCTTGTCCGGATTTTCGGGACGATTGCATTTGCAACGCAGCTCTGCAGACTATTTCTCGTTAGCTGACGAAAGTAAGAGGAGAAAATGGGCTGAACTTACAGAGAGCTCCATACTACGGACGTCAAAAGCCTGGCGCCAGTAGAGCGCAGGCTGAACTTCGTCCTCGTTCGTCTCGTCCCATTGATTGACTGTTGCCGCAGCAGTAACACTGACTACGTTGATCACATCCACTATGCTTTGTTAGGAGTGGGCTATAATAAACTTGGAAATGTGTTAAGCCTTACTGTGATTGGACGCGATCAATTCGTTTGCGCCATGATACCACTGTCGTCCCTGTATGAGCTTCTTCCCGTCTTGCGTGCCCACCGGCAACTCGTCCGGCCAGTACATCCAATACACGCGTGCATATACATGATGCTCATCGGCTGCTCGAATTTCCAAGATTCTTGCTACCCAATCGTCGTCTGACTTCTTCCTAGGCTGTAGGCCTTCGCCCGGATTTTTCTGGCGCTCGATCGTCGAACTGTTGGCAACGAATATGAAGCCCTCGCTCCAGTATTTAACGCCGTTCACTAAATATTCTTGAGTATGCTGCGCCAAGTGCGAACAATTTGAGACACTTACGGACGAAACTATTATACCGCGTCATATCCATCCATTTCTGATATGGTTGAACTTGATAATGCCGGTCCATCGTATTGTTGGGATCTTTAAACTTGCCCATAGGCGAGAAGGGAGACGCTTGAAGCAATATCTTAGGCTGAGGATGGTCTTCGGACTCTTGCCGTCTACGCTTCGCCTTCTTTTCCTTCTCGTTTGGGTCGGGATGGATAACGCTAAAAGGGCATTCTGCCTGGCTCTCCTCTGGCTCCGGGCGCGGGCGCTTACGAGCGGTCGCCATTATCGCGAGTCTCGAATGGTAATTTGTTTATATATAAGGTGGTTGGATGCGCAAACGTAGGCTATATAGTACGAAATCGATGGCTGGTAAGGGGGTTGATTGCGCTCAGAAAAGAAAAGTCTTATCTTTCGCGTAACCAATATAAATATCTAACCCCCAAAAAATAAAATAAAAAAGGCGAGAAGCTATTAAACAAGTGCGGGCGCGTATCCAACAATATCGAAGCTGACCCTATGCCTATGTGTGCCGAGGACGAAGCTCGCGACGTTGGATGATATTCGATAGCGATTCGATAGCGATGCGATTGAGAAATCGTAAGCCGGAAACGGATGTGGCGGGGAAGGGGGGAAATATTTGGTAGCTTGGCGCGTCTCTCAATTATCTGTCGAGATCCTACTCTACACCGTGTTACAATGCGCCGGGGGCCGAATCATAACATAGCTGTTCCAATCGAGTTGTGAGAGCTCCGAGACGTGGATACTATGACAAAGGAATACGCGGTAGAGTCTAGATACCTCGAGAACAGATGCCGACTCGGGCCTGAGATGGACAGGTAGCTGTTAGTTACCTAAGAACAAGGGAAAGGGATAAGAATAATAATACAGGTACCTAGTCATATAGGTGATTGTTAGTAATAAGCTAGTTCCTTACGTGTACCTAGGTATCGTAATAGCGCGATTCGCGTTCCGATTGAACCACCACCACCTGGGCAGCACTGCCAGCTCGAATTTGCGCTTCGAATTGTGTTTTGATTTTGAAGAAGACGAAGAGGAGAAATGGGGAGCAAGTGGAGGTCCAAGTTCAAAATACTAGACCTACACTAGAAGCTACAGTTAACTATCGGCATACACTAAGCCTAGTTTGGTATAATCTACCGTATCGTACATGTCGGGTGCTTGCCGTACCTATCCAGCAACCGATAAGCCCAAAGCATTGGCTACAGATATTCGGTAATGTCGATCAGATGTTCCGAGCTCGTTTTTATTTCCATCACTCGTTTCACGAGGTAAAGTATCTCGAGTTTCTGAAATTTGTTGTTTTGGTTTGCTTCGTAGTAAGGAGGCAGTTATTCAAGTCTAACAACTTCAATATTGCCTACTAAATTTACGTAGTTATACTGTTGAGATCTAGGGGCCAAGGAGTATGCTATCGGCGTTGGCTTTAATAGGCTACAACACATAATGGTATTGGCCAGTTTCTGTGCGACATCGCGATCAGTATGCTAAACAAGGAAGGGCCCCTACATAACTTGCCGGGCGTTGTTAGTATTCGATTAAATTAGGTCCCTAGGTGAAAACCGAGCGAGGTATCTAAGAACTAGGCCTGGTTATCCAATATTTCCCTGCGTAAATGAAGAAGAGTCAACGCCGTCGCTATGCAAGATAGACCCTCGCATAAAAGTACTCTTGAATAAATCCGGGGTATTATGACCTCGCATGACCGTCAACCTCCTCATCATCATGTCCATCGTAAGCGGAAATAATTCCTTGACCTTCGACACCGTTACCAAATCTGCCCTCATGAATATCATCTCTACTCTTAAAGCCCTCGATTATCTCGGCCAGTTTTTCTCCCTCGAATTTGCCGCGTTCGACATTAACGAAATATATAAACGGCGCAGGAAGGCTGACCAGCGCTGCCAGGAACCAAAATGCCGGTCGAATTTCACCAGACGCGTCTATGATAGCCCCCACTATAACAGGTCCGAATATGCTTGAGCCTTTGTCGGTAATGGCGTATAATGCATAAAAAGCAGCTTCAGAGCCGGGAGGGATCAGTTCTCCGTAAAGTGATCGGCAATATGAACTAAGTCCACCGAGGACGAGACCGTAAACGGCAGCTAAGGGGTACATTTCCCACGGCTGCTGAAGCCCGAAAACTCCCCATCTTTGGACAAAAGGCAAGTAGCCTAGAAGGCCATAAATAGGTATGATTTCAAAAAGTGCAATACAGCTCAGCACAGTCTGATGGGGTCGCAACTTGAAATACTTGGAGACAAACGACCAACCGAAAGCACCCAAGACACCCGTAGTCGTAGATATAACGTTAATCATCCCTAACGCCCACGGTTCCATGTGCAGGGTCGTCTTTGCAAACAATATGGCAGTCGAAGATGTCGTCGCGATAGCGTCGGAAATCAGAAACCAGCTAGCCAAAAACAAGACGACATCGATCAAACGTCGTGCCAGCTTGACCGTCCGAAATAGATTCTTCCACGAGTAGACAACGTAAGATATCCAAGCACGGGTGCCTCGGTATCGGCTCTCTGCGAGGGGAGGCCCGGGTCTAGCTCTGAGCCATATAGCTGCTGGTATCGTAAAAATGGCCCACCAAGCCCCGATAAAAAATAGCACGACCCGTTGCGACCAAACAGAACTATGCATGCTCACTAATATTAATATGGAGGCGCATTGCACGAACAACGCAGCGCCGTAGCCGATCCCGATCCCCTTCGCGGATATCTCGCTGGACAGCTGAAGCTCAATAGAGGTAAGCTCCTCGTGGGTGGGTATTCGTCGCAAGTCGTGGATGTCAGAGCTGCCGTCGTTTCGCGAGAGCAAGGGGGTTGTCGGATCGTTTGGAGGGTGCTCGGCCAGAGTAGGGGATGTCGACCGAGAATGAGTGTCGATCACAGTATCTGATTCCAGGTCGTCATCTTCGGATACACCGGTTACCGACTCCAATACTTTCGGATGGTGGCGGACAAGGAGAGGAAGGAAGGAGTTTAATAGAACGAAGGACGCCCCGAAAGACGTGTTAGAGACGATAGCCAGCAGCGCCCCGAACATGTATATCTCTTTGGAGATGAATATATAGCACATGACGCAAAAGCTTCCAATCCATGCAAATGTCAATAACAACCGCTTTCGGTAGTTGCCATGATCGGCCGCGCAGCTGATGCTGACTACTAGTAATGCCTGGAGTAGCACACTTATACTGAAGGTATACATAGCGAAGCTAGCCGTATTGATCTCGATGCCGACGACGGTGACGATACACGGGCCATCCGAAGTTCTCGTGCAGGGGCTTTCCCGATCCCTCAAGAGGACGCCATTTTCCCTGGCCAAGCTCTCTAATAGAATCGGAATAAACGAAGCTGTTCGCGTTTGGTAAGCTCATGTTTACTAGTTATATGCGGGTAGCTGTGATGATGGTGCGTAAATGTTTTCGGACCCGATAGATGCCGAACTAGGCATCATCTTGTATAGATGCTAAAGAGAAGAGGTAGCTACTCACAGATGGCTAGTGACTGTCAGCATTATTTCAAGTGTTGCCAGCAAATAGGAAGAGGAAGAGGAAGAGTCTAGATTTACTAACCGCATATTACGTAGGTTTCGGCGGCGAAGCCATACATGTACCAACCAGCAAGCTCCTTGTTACTAGTTGGGCGAGTATCTTCGCCATGATAGCGACCGAAGGGGGAGCCGTTCTCGATGCTGGGCGCGGGTGTCATTCTGCCTGACTCGGTGGATGTCGATCGCTCATCGTCAGCTTCGAAGGAGGAAGAGTGAGAACGAAGGGAATATTTAGAGACGACGGACTGGACTGAAAGTAAGCGCGAATTTGGAGCTGGGCGCCGAAGCTGGTCATCATTCCTAGGGACCATTATTGGATGGAAGCGGTAGATTAAGTTTAAGGGACCTGACGAAATGGCGCCGCGTTACACTAAATTCAGTTACCAGTCAGCTGAAGGGGGCCTCATTTAGGGGGCCCCTGACCTTAAACTTCCCACCTAAACCTTAAAAAGCTCCCGCTGTCAGCAATGTCTGGGTCTAGTTTGGGGAACTCTGAGCCCCAATCGGTGAACTTCAATGTCCCATAATTAATCAGAGGCCGCACCTAACCTTATCGCAAGACTGTTCCGTCGTGCTCTTGGTCCGCTCCTCTCCAACCTCTAACCAACCTCCAACCAAAGTTACCACCTCAGGTAGTCAGATAGTGAATCTCTTCTCCCCGCCCGTTGGCCTATTAAACGCGGAGGATCTACCGGCGGGTTGGCCTAATTATCATAGTCGATTTAGAGCTTCTGCCCAAGGTTAGGAAGATGAATGTATTTTGATTTTCAGCACACGATATAACCCAATATTTATGGCAGCAATCATGAGAGGAAGCAGTTCAGTTATGAATGAATAATTGAAGAGACAAAACGGCCATCTCTCCCTCACAAAGAAAGGACGGATCGTTGGTACAAAACTACTCTAGGCCCATACCTTACCCAAAAGCTAAGCTGCTTTCTAACACGCTACCCCTCGTTCGTGGTCTGATGATGGTTCACAAGCAGCAAGGCATGACGTCGCAGGGGAAATAGGAAGCAAAACTGAAGGCAGGGATCGTCACTTGGATAACCCCATGGGACGTTGGGGATGCTCACGGCCCGACGCTCACTACCTATCCGAATAACATCGAACTAGTGATAAAGATTTCCTTAGTTATCATGAAAAGAACAAGAGAAAGAAACTCCCATCAAACAGTATGATCTCCCCTTTGAGTTTACACCTCACCCCAAAGTCATCCTAGACCATCAGCCCAAAGTCTAACCCAATAAGGCAAATGTGGACCTTCATTCCACCGTAATAATATTAACGCACCTAAAATTTAATTACTATTTCATTAATATTATATATGTATAAATATACATTTTATACACCGTTTTAAAATTTAATAAAATTTAATAAAATTTATTATAATTAATTATTAATTATTAATTAATTAATGATTAATTATCGATTAATTAATAATTAATTAATTTATTTTATTTTTTTTAAAAAAAACTTTAAATATAATAAATTACATAAACTATATCACGTGTTAATTAAATAATAAACATTATATGTTATATATAAAATTATTTACATTATATATTATATATATTTAAATATTTAAATATTTATACGTAATATAATATAATTATAAATTAATTTTTGTTTTTTTATTATTTTATAAATATTATATTTTATATTTTATAATTAAATTAAATTAAATTAAATTTAATGTAAAATTTTAAAATTTAATTAATTAAATTTTACGTTTAAATTATTAAATTTAAAGTTTAAACTTTTATTAAATTAAAAAATATTTTAATAATTTTAACGTTATTTTAATTTTATAATTTAAACGTTAATTTAAAATGGTAAAATTTATTATTTAAATTTATTTTAACGTTTTTTAAATTTAACTTTTAAAATAAAATAAAATAATTAATTTTTAATTAATTAATAATTAATTAAAAATCGATTATAAATTAATTTTAAATTAATTATTTTGTTTTTTATTTTTTAAATCTTTTTTTAAATATAATAAATTACATAAACTAAGTCATGTGTTAATAAATAAATAATAAATTAAATAATTAAATACGTAAAATTATTTACATTTTACATTATATATATTTATATTTATATATATATAATTATTTAATTTTAATTAATTATTTTTTATTTTATAATTATTTTATTAATAAACTTTTTATATTTTAACAATTAAATAAATTAAATTAAATTATTAAATTAATTAAATGTAAAACTTTTAAATTTAACCAATTAAATTTAATTAATTAATTATAACTTATATTTTATTATATTAAATTAACGTTTAAATTATAAAATTAAAATAACTTTAAAATTGTTTATAACGTGTTTTATAAATTAACCGTTTAAATTAATTAACCGTTTAAAATATTTTAATATATTATTTACCGATTTTAAAACGCGTTAAAAATAAACAATTATAACGTGGAAAACTTTTTATTTAAATTAAAAAAAAAGTTATACGTATTAAAAAAAAAAGGTATAAATTTTAACATTTTTAAAAAAATTGTTAAAAAAAGTTTTTTAAAACAATAACGTTAAAATTAATAATGTTATAAAATTTACAATATTATTAATTATAATATAAAAACGTATAAAATAATAATAATACCATTTAAAAATAATAATTAATTAAAATTTTAATTAATTTTAATTGTTTTTATTAAATTATTTACCATTGTTTTAAATTTTAAACGGTTAATTAATTTAAACGGTTAATTTATAAAACACGTTAAACTTTTAAATTAAATTAAATTTTAAATTAATAATTTAAAATAATTTTAAAATAATTTACGTTTTTTTTTAAAAAAATAAATTAAATTAAATATTATTAAACCATGTGTAAATTATATAATAATAAATTATAATAATTTCGAAAATTTTATTATTTAAATTATGTAATTATAATAATTAACTCGTTATTATATTTTTAAATAAAATGTTATTTTTATTAAATGGTTTTTCGATTAAAACATTTTTAACGGATTATAATTTTAATAAAGTTAAATAACATTAATTAAATTTTTTAACAGTTATTTTTATTTTAAATGATTTTAAATTAAAGTTTTAATTTTTTTTAATTTATAAAGTTATACTTTTTTAATTATACCATTTTTTTAATTAATTATAACTTTATTTTAATGAATTTAAACCATAAATTTAAAATTGTTTATACGGTTATACTTTTTTTAACCACATAACTTTTTAATTAATCATAATCCCGGTATAACTTTAAAAATAATTTTAAATCTTTAGTTTAAAATAACTCGAGTAATTTTTATTATAATTAATTATTTAATATTAAAAATATAATATTAAAAATAATAATATTAACACGTTAAAAATAAGTTTTAATTAATTTAAAACATTTATTAATTTTATTATTAATAAATATATACATTTTAAATATTTAAATATACGCGTTTTAAATGTTTTAAAGTAATAATTAACCGTAATATTAATTGTAATATTAGTTATAACGTTTTTAAAAATATATTACGTTAAAGTTTATAATATTACAACGTAATATTATACGGGCATGTAAAAAAAATAAAAAGGTAAAAAAAAAATAATATTTACTTTAAGTTATAAAAATAAAAGTTATTTTGTATGTGGTTGTAAGTGTAAACGCGTGGATGTGGATATTAATACAACATTTTTAATATTATTACGTGTTTTTAAACGTTAAAGCTTGCAATATTATAACGCAATACCGTACGGATATGTAAAAAAAATAAAAAGGTAAAAAAAGTAAAATATTAACTTTAAGTTATAAAAATAAAAGCTATTTTATACGTTATTATTAAATATTAAATCATTGTAAATATAAGGTTTAATTTTTAAAAAAACTATTTTAATTATGGTTAAACACGTTAAACATGTTTTAAATTAAAATTCGTTAAAATTTAAACTTATAATTTATAAATATAATAATATAAACCAAGCGTTTTATGGCGTTTGTGGCGCAATCGGGCGTAAACCCGATTTAACAAATTTTAATTTAAGTTTATTAAAATAATTATAACCCGTATAATTTTTTTTAAAAAATATTAAAACTTTAATTTAAAATTATTTTAAATACGTTTTTATTAAAAATCGTTTTTATTTTTTAAAAACATCGTTAAATTAATAAAATTATTATAAAACGTTTTTATAATAAATAATAATTAATTATATAATTATAATAATTTTATTATTAAATTTATTAAATTTCACACGTTTTAAATTTTTTAAAATGTTAAAAATAATTATAATAACGGTCGTAATACGTTAATTATAACACCGGTTATAATACGCGTTATAAAGTTTAATATATAAAAAAATAATGTTATATAAATGTATAAAAAAACGGGAATATTTAAACAATAATATTATAAAATTAAAATTAAAATAAATAACATTTTATATTTATACGCGGTATTAATTATAATGTTAATTATAATGTTAATTATAATGTTAATTATAATGTTAATTATAATGTTAATTATAATGTTTTAAAAATCAAGTTTTTTTTAACGTTTTAATTTAATATATAAAAACGTAACGTTATATACATATGTAAAAAAGTTAAAAAAATAAATTAAATATATTATTAATTTTAAATTATATTAATTAAAGTTATTTTATATGTTTTTATAATATATTAAATTATTGTAAAATAAATTTTTTTATTATTTACCATTAAATTAAAAAATAAATAACGTTTAAATTTAAACGGTTTTTAAATTTAAATTTATTAAAATTTACACATATGTTTTATAAATATAAACACATAAACCATGCGTTTTATAACGTAAACGGGCGTAATTTACTTTAACGAATTTAAGTTTAAAAATTAAAATAAAATTATTTATTTTATTAGTTTAATTTATACCAAAATTTATTTTAATAATTTAAATTAAAATTCGAAAAATAATAACGGGTTTTACCCGTTAACTTACGTTATAACGTTATAAAACGTATAATTTATATGTTTATATTTATAAATCACGATTTAAATGTTTTTTAAATTTTAATTTAAGTTAATTTAAACGTTAAAAAAACTTATATAATATAACTTTTTTAATAATAATAAATTTACGATAATTTAATATTTAATAATAACGTATAAAATGTTTTTTATTTTTATAATTTAAAGTTAATATTTTACTTTTTTTACTTTTTTATTTTTTTTATATATTTATATAATATTATGTTATAATATTATAAGTTTTAACGTAAAAAAAATAATGTAATATATTACGAAAAATGTTATAATTAATATTATAATTAATATTATAATAATATTTATAATATTTATAATAACGTTTATAATTAAATATAAAATGGTATATTTTATATTTAAAATTAATAATTTAATTGTTTTAATATTTTTTTTTTTATATTTATATAATTTTATTACATGTTACGGTTATTAAGTTACGGTTATTACGTTATAACCGGTATTACGGTTAATATTAACTATTTTTATTAATATTATAATAATATTTATAATTATATATAAAATACTTTATAAGTTATTATTTAATTATTTTAACATTTTTTTTTTTATATTTATACGGTTTTATTACATATTACGGTTAATTTTATTATATATTACGGTTATTATGTTATAACCGGTGTTACGATTGGTATTACGGTTAATATTAACCATTTTTAATATTTTAAAAAATTTAAAATATATAAATTTAATTGATAAATTTAATAATAAAATTAAAAAATATTTAATAAATAAATTATTATTTATATTAATGTTAGTATATTATAAAAAAAGTAAAAAAAATTAAATTAACTTAAATTAAAAATGCGAAATTTTTTTATAAAGGTAAATTAAAGGTATAATTGGTTAAAAAGTAATGTGGTTAAAAAGGTATAACGAGACGAACCTAAATTTCGCATCTGGTCTAAGCTACTGAGATAAACCAGAATTTAAGACGATTAAGTCTAACAACTAACTAACCTACATAGTATCCTTTCACCACAGGCATACCTAGGATTCTTGCTTTATGGATTGCTAGTTGTCAACATCATGTCTAGACGCGAGTAGCACATTACTATCATATCGCCTCTCCATTAATTTAAATAATGTAAGCGACAATTATATAGATTAGCGGATGCTACACTCGCGGCCTTTGAAATTTCCACCAATATTCGCCCAGCCTGTATCGAGCGTGGCACATTTTACCATTTCGCTCAACATACCACTCTCTATACCACGTGTTGGCTGACATCTATGTAGGTTCCCTTGCATATCCCCGGATCCTATAGCTTTAACGACACAATCTAGCTGTTGCGTGCCTCAGGACAACTTACAGTGTATTCATCGGTTATTGGTAACCTAAGAGCGTGACCTGAGAGCAAGTAAAATGCTGCATTGGGAAACTAGCCTTCCCCAGTGAAGGTGTTTAGGATGTCCTTCTAGGTAGAAAGACATAGGTAGGCTAATTCTTTATTCTGTCTTCTTCGATCTCGAAACCTCTTCGTGTGCACTTTCAACGCCCCCAAGCTAGAGTACTTTCTTGATAGGTACGCATAAGCTCGTAACTTTAAGATGTTTTCAAGCCTTATTTCGGAGTTTTGATACCGAGCGTCTTCTATAAATATGTTCATAAACCCCCTGCACTATAATGATCGCATATATACTCCATACCAGCATTAGCTTTAGGCTATTATTGCGTGATGCACCCTACGGCGTTCCTTTTCGCGGGGCCGTATGGTTCTTTCGTCGAGACAACAGCGCTTCTTCACTCCGGTTTGCCAACATTTATGTATAGCGCTTATTATATTGGCGGGTCGTTGTCACCGATCGCCCCTCAATCTCGCCTTGCTGGCACAGGGGAAGATGAGAAAGGGGCTCCAGACAAGCAATATTTCCGTCTTGGGAATTAACCACTATGCTATTCTATTTTACCGCTGTGGAATCTCCAAGAATTATTCTGACGGGGGTGGCTACGGAGCCAGATCTAGCCTTACCTACCACGGGTGCTATCCTCCGTAGTACTTGGATTGACAACTATAAAGCCTGGTTAATGCCACCATTACGCCATCTAAGAGTTTCACTGTAGTCCTTGCGGAATAACCCAGCACCCAGCCGTACCGAAAAGTCCGACAACATGAAGTCTACTCTCCTATACCTGCTGGCTCCTCTAGCAGCCTTAGCTGCTCCCGCCGAGCTCGCCGAGCGACAGGCAACTGACAGCATCGACAAGATGATCAAGGCCAAGGGAAAGCTATACTACGGAACCTGCACCGACCAGAACCGTCTATCATCCGGCAAGTCTGCTGATGTCATCAAGGCAGACTTCGGCCAGGTGACCCCTGAGAACAGCATGAAGTGGGATTCTACCGAGTCCTCCGAGGGTCGATTCAACTTTGCCGGAGCCGACTACCTCGTCGACTGGGCCACTTCCAACAACAAGACCATCCGTGGTCACACCCTCTGCTGGCACTCGCAGCTGCCCGGCTGGGTTCAGAACATCGGGGACAAGACGAAGCTCACCCAAGTCCTCGAGAACCACGTTACGACTCTGGTGACGCGGTATAAGGGCAAGATCTACGCCTGGGTTCGTCTCACCTCACCGCGGCGGCGCGAAAAATTATTGATATAAGTGAGCTAACTCGTATTTAGGACGTCGTGAACGAAATCTTCAACGAGGACGGTTCCCTGCGCCAGTCTGTCTTCTCTAACGTCCTGGGCGAGGACTTCGTTCGCATCGCTTTCGAAGCTGCCCGCAAAGCTGACCCCGATGCGAAGTTGTACATTAACGATTACAACCTCGACCAGCCGAACTAGTACGTATCCCATATCTCCTATTATTTTCGTGTGTGCTTTAGACAAGGGCATATGTCTATGCGTTGAGCTGTTCCGGGAGTGAAGGCTCTCAATATGGATTGATCGGCCATGAATTTCCTCTGAAGGCTCTCCCCTACCGAGCATCCGCTGACTTCGTACGGTATAGTGCCAAGCTTACCAACGGTATGGTCAACCACGTCAAGAAGTGGATCGCTGCCGGTGTTCCCATCGACGGTATTGGATCTCAAGCCCACTTGACCGCCGGTCTCGCCAGCCAAGCCGCCGCCTCCATCAAGGCTCTCGCCGCCACTGGCGTTAAGGAGGTTGCATTCACCGAAGTCGACATCCAGACCGCTCCCGCTAACGACTACGCTGCCGTCACCAAAGCCTGCCTAGACGAGCCCAAGTGCGTCGGTATCACCGTCTGGGGTGTCCGAGACCCGGTAAGAACAAGCCACCTCTCCCCGAATCTCGGTAGGGATATGCTGACCGCAGACGCAACAGGACTCCTGGAGAGCTAGCACCAACCCCCTGCTGTTCGACAGCGGCTTCAACCCCAAGCCCGCGTATAACGCCGTCGTCAGCGCCCTAAAATAAGCTGATAACTGTTTCTAAACTAGCGAAGCTTGGTAAAAATAGGAAAGGTTCGGGGGTTAGCGAAACTACCTCGTGATTTAACTGTATATATTACCAAATCTGATATATAAGATTGTATATCCCCAGACGCTCTGAAGATACAGGACCGTACGTAAGCCTCGGTTTTTGAGGTAACACTTACCGGAATAGATGTAAAGTAAATATCGCGATCGCGCGGAGTACATAGTCTTATAAACAGAGAGTACGTAGAAAACGGGATATCATTGAAGACCCAGTCGAAATCGCGACCGGCAGCGTTGAGTCGCCAGTAAGAACATTAAGCAAAGAATCAGGAAGCCTTATTTTCCTCTCTCCAACCCATCCCCAACGTAATAAAACGCATTCATCCCTCCCGCCGGCTTACCTACACCCCTTCCTAACCCTCGATCATACCTAACCCCGTAAGATCGCAAGCGTCTTTATTTCTTAAACACCCCAAAGATCTTATGCTTCAGCTTATCGGCCAGGCTCAAGTTTGGCGCGGTGCCGGGCGTCGACGGGCTATCGACGACTTTGCCGGCGCCGTGGTGCTTCTCTTGCTTTTTCTGCTTGTCCTGCTCGGATAGGTGCACGTTCGCAGCGCCGCCGCGACCTACGTGGAAGCTCTCGCCGTCGGTAGATGGGCGCGTCGCTTCCTCGGGGACGATATCCCGATCTGTGCGCATTGCGGAGGGCGGCTTGTCGGCGTCGGCGATGTTGGCTGCGCCTGTTGCGTGTAAGAGGGGGTGTTAGTGAGACGTTGGAAGGGTGGTTGGCTAATATAATAGGTGATGAGGTGGGTAGATAGGTAGGTAGGTAGGTAAAGAAGACTTGCCTCCTCGACCGGTGCTAAATGCGCCGTCACCGTGGCTACCTTCGTGACCCTGGCGCACGATTTCGCCATCGACGTACTTGGTGTCGTCCGGGTTGATATTGCCGGCGCCGCCGCGGCCGTGGGATACTTCGGGTGTAGTCATTGTAGATGGATCTGCGACGGACGTCGGTCTTAGTTACGCGATTTCTAGGAGCTGGAGGGGTTTGCTATGTAAGTAGGGATTGCGAATCGGACAGGATATCTTTGCTTATTGAAGAATAACAACCCTGACTCATTGGATCCTACTGTCGTAAATAATAGACATCTCCATTACAAGGAAGATAAGTGAGTGATATACCGATTGGTATAATGACTCGCTCCTATGTTACGTTCGCTGCGTTGGAAAATATTACATACCTTTATTATGTACTATTTACGTGTGAAGTTAGAGGAAAGAATTGGGAGGAACGTCGGATGTTGTACACATATGCGAACGAGGCTCGCTCATTAGCGAAACCCTCTAGTTTACCCTCCCCGTCTCATTCCGTCATCTGACCTTTTCGTTTATATCCCTGGCCCATGCCATGTCCTATCAACGCCAAAACCCGTCCGCATCCCAAGTGGCCGGTGGCTTCGTGAGATATCGTATCAGCATTATCGAATCCAGCCACCACTGCGCTGGAAGCCCCTAAGCTGGGGGTGGTAGCCAATGATATCTCGTCGAATGCTTCTTGCGGAATTCTAGAAGCTCATCTTGCAACATAATAGGCACAGCTACTGAACCAATTGTCACCGTTTCCCCCGTCCCCGAGTAATTCAGCCGTACCTGATGCTTCTTTACTGACTGACCGAGTAGAATTCCTATCTATCAGTTACCTGACGTAATTCCAGCTTCTCATCCAACGATAAGATGGCAAGCTATCACTGGCTGGTCGCTGACCCCTGCAGGGGTAGCTAATGAGCGCCAAGATAAATAGTGGCCCTGTCCCCAGCTCCACGAGCTTAGAGCGACGTTGGCGCGTAGATGGGATGATAAGCGTTGGAAGATGTCAGATTAGTAAGCCCTGTCAGGTGACCTGAAAACTCTGCATTTTATGTAATTATACACGTTCCATACACTTTTACAATCTTTATAATATATAATTAAATTATTAATAATTATATTAATATTATTTTAATTATTATTTAATTATATATATTAATTATTTAACAATTAAAAGTTTTATATATTTAAATGTAAAAGTTTTAAAAATATAATTTTAATTAACATTATTTAATCGTATATATATTTTATTATAATAAAATTTTTTTTTATAAAAAATTAATAATAAAATAATATTTATTATAAATATTATTATATTTGTTAATAAATTTAACTTAATTTTTTTTAATAATTAAAAAGTTTAAAATAAAAGTTTCGTTATTTTTATAATAAATTATAAATTATAAAATTAAATTAATTTTAATAATATTAATAAAAACGATAATTTAATATTTATTTTTTTAATTTAATTAAAAATTATTATTAAAATAATTATTAAATTAATTTTAATTAAATTTATATTTAATTTAAAAAAATTAATTTTAAAAAAACTTTTTTAATTAATTAAAAAAATAACTTAAAATAATTAAAAATACTATATTAATAATTATATTATTTATATTTAAATATTAATACTTTATAATAATTAAAAAATTAAAAATATTTTATTTTAAACAATTTATTATTAAAATTATATTTAAAAGTTATGTTAAAATAATAATTAAAGTTATAAATTTATTTTATAATATATATATTATTTTTAAAAACCATTTAAAAATATATATATTAAAATATAAAATTTAAAATAAATATATTAAAATTATAATTTTTTTTATAAAATTTTTTAAAAATTAAAATATTTGGATATTTATTTAAAAAACTATTTTTTTACAGGTAAAAAAATAAAAATTAATTATAATTAATAACTTTTAAAAATAGTTTTAAACGTTTATATAAACTTTAAAATTAATAATTTTTAAATAAATAATTATTTAAAATATTATTTTTAAAAAAAATATTTTTAATAAAACTTTATAATATAATAAAATATTATATATAAACATTTAAATATAATAAAGTAAAAAATAAAATATATAAAAAAACATTTAATTTAATATATAATATTAAAAAAGGTAAAAATTCGGATTAAAAAATTAATTTAAACCGTTAAAAAAAATCTTTATAACTTTTAAAATATTTTTTTAAAAAAAAAAATAATTTTAATAAATATAAAAAGTTTAATATTAACTTAAAATAACCATTAAAAATTAACTTTATTACATATAAAAAATGTAAAACGTATAAAAACTTTTATAATTTCGAAAAATACTTTTACCTTTTTAAATTAAAATAATTTAATTATTTTAAAAATAATAAAAAACTTATTATTTTAATAAATATTAATTTAAAAAAATTTTAATTTAATAATTAAAATTAAAAATTTTTAAAAAAAATATTAATAATAAAATATTAAAAATAAAAATAATTAATTAAATTATTAAATAATAAATTTATAAATTAACATTTTATTTATAATATTAATATTAAACGTTATTTTTAATATAAGTTAATATTTATTAAAAAATTTAATAATATTAAATTTAAAAATTATTATATATATATTTAATTAAATTTTTTAATTTATTAATTTTAAAATTATTTTATTAAATAATTATATTATTACAAGTAAAAAATATATTAAAATAATAAGTTATAAAAACGTTAATATATATATTAAATATATTAAAAATATTATTTAAATTAAATTTATAAATATTATTTATTATAAAAATTTTATATATAATTTTATATTATTAAAATTATTATAAAAATAAAATTATTAATAAAATAATTATAATAAATTTATTTATTTAAAACATTTAAATAACGTTATTATAATTAAATTTATTAATTATTATAATTAATTTATATTTAAAAATATATTTTATAAAATTTTAAAAATTATTTTTTACATATGTTATAATAATTTAAATTTAAAGCTTATAAAATTATTTAATATTTATTTTAAATGACTTTAAACCCGATATTTTCGAGGCGGGTTTTACCCGTTTATTTTGCTTGCCCCGGCGTTACAAGCGCCACGTAACGCGTAATTTATATGTTTATATTTATAAGTTATAAATAAAATATTTAAAAATATTTGGTTTAAAGTTATATAATGTTATAAAGGTTTTTAATGTTTTTATTAATAATGAAAAAATTAAACATTATATTTATAATAATTTAATATATTATAATAACGTATAAAATAATTTTAATTTTAATAATTTAAAATTTATAATATATTTTTTTTAACTTTTTATTTTTTTTATATATTTATATAATATTACGTTTTTATATATTAAACTTTAACGTTTAAAAATTTTTAACGTTTTAATTATATTAAGTTTTATATAAAATATTTAAATATAATAATTTAATATTTTATAATTATATATAAAATTTTTTTTTTTTAATAATTTAAAATTAATACATTTTTTAAACTTTTTAACCTTTTTTATATATTTATACAATTTTATATATACCAAGTTTTAACGTTTATTACGGTTATTATTATATGTTACGGTTACCGTTATAACCGATGTTATAATTAATACGTTATAACCGTTATTATAACCATTTTTAACATTTTAAAAAACTTAAAACGCGTAAATTTAATTAATAAATTTAATAATAAAATTAATACGATTATATTAAATAAATATAATATTATTAAACTTGGTTATAAAGTATTTTATTACGTAATTTTAATTTTACAAATCATATAAAAGTTTTAAAATCATTTCATTTTTTTAATCAAAAATATACACACACTTTTATTTTAAATTATTTTTTAATTAACAATTATTTTAGTTTTTAATTTATATTAATTTTATTTTATTATTTTTTTTCTTTTATTTATTAATCAATTAAATTCGTATTTTTAAATTAAAATATAATGCCATTATTAATAATTTAAAACCTTTTATAAAAATTAAGTTATTAAAATAATAAATTATATTTTATAAAAATCTTTACCTTTTATTTAATAATAATTACCACGGAATTTAAACCCGTAACTTTAATCTTAAAAAAACCGTTAAAAATTAATCAATAAAAATAATTTTATAACCATAAATTTAATTTCGAGTACTTATAATTATAATTCGAAAAAAAATAAAAAAATTATAAAAAATCCCGAAATTATTAAACATTAATAACAAATTAAATATTAAAACTTTATTTGAATTTTTTTACTAATTAATATTATTTAATTAAAATTTTTTTTATTAATATATTAATAATATAACCAAATATATTAAAATATTATTAAAATATTTATATAATAAAATAATATTAATAAAATTATAAAACAAATAAAATAATTAATATTATATAATACAAATTATTAAAATTATTAAAACTATTAAAATATTATAAAAATTAACAATATAAAAAACGAATTATAATTAAAAACATAATATAAAAAATAACGTATAAAATATAATAAAACGGTTATTAAAGATAATAATTAAAATATAACCAAATATTAATATAAAAAAAAGTCGAATTTAAAATTAACCTTACAATTATATTGTTATAATAAATAGTTTAATAATAATTAATAATAAAATTTATAATTAAAAAACTTATTTATTTATTATTATTATTATGTTAAAAAAATTATTAATTAAATTATTAACATAAAAAAGATAAAAAATTATTAAAGTTATTATGGTAATTTTGTTATTGTTTATTTTATTATGTTTTAAAACAATTCGGTTAAAAATTAAATTAATAATTATTTATTTTTAAAATAAATTTTATAAAATAAAAATATTAAAAGATGTTTAAATATTTGATTAAATTTTAATAAATAAAAATAAATATTATTTTTTTCTTTATATTAAAAATAAAGGGCAAAAGTATTACCAATATTATTTAATAAATTAAATATTATTTATATTTTTAATTTATTAAAGTATTAATTAAATTATAAAAATTAACTTTAATTAAAAATAAATTAATAATAATAAATTTAAATTATAATTATTATATTAAAAAAATAGCTTAATTTAAAGTTTAATTAAGTTTAATACTTTTTAAAAAAATTATATTAA